GCGGGGCCGCCCAAGGAGCAGGCGCCGGCGGAGGAGCCGGGCACGCCGTCGTCGTCGCCCGAGGACAAGTTGCTGGCCAGCCCGCGGGCCATCAACAACCTGGTGCTGCAGGGCTGCTCGTCCATCGGGCTGCGCCTGGTGCTCGAGTACCTGTACACGGCCAACGTGACCCTGTCCCTGGACACGGTGGAGGAGGTGCTGTCGGTCAGCAAGATCCTGCACATCCCGCAGGTCACCAAGCTGTGCGTGCAGTTCCTCAACGACCAGATCTCGGTGCAGAACTACAAGCAGGTGTGCAAGATCGCCGCCCTGCACGGCCTGGAGGAGACCAAGAAGCTGGCCAACAAGTACCTGGTGGAGGACGTGCTGCTGCTCAACTTCGAGGAGATGCGCGCCCTGCTCGACTCGCTGCCGCCGCCCGTGGAGTCGGAGCTGGCGCTCTTCCAGATGTCCGTGCTCTGGCTGGAGCACGACCGCGAGACCCGCATGCAGTACGCGCCCGACCTCATGAAGCGCCTCCGCTTCGCCCTCATCCCGGCCCCGGAGCTGGTGGAGCGGGTCCAGTCGGTGGATTTCATGCGCACCGACCCCGTCTGCCAGAAGCTGCTGCTGGACGCCATGAACTACCACCTGATGCCCTTCAGGCAGCACTGCAGGCAGAGCCTGGCCAGCAGGTACGGGCTGGGGGGCAGGGGCAGGGGCAAGGGCAAGGGCAAGGGCAAGGCAGTCGGGAACTTCTCGGCAACAAACACCCTCGGAGGGTTTTCAGCGCCTCCCTGGCTAGACAGAGCTCCGGCTGGGGTGAGCTGGGTGGGGATGGTCCTGCCTGGAGCAGGTGACGTCCCGAGGGCCCTGCCTTTCCCCTGAGTCTGAGCTCAGGCACAGGGGTAAGGGCAACCCAGGGTGGGGGTGGGGAGTGCAGAGGGGAGGGCAGCTCTCTCCTCCACAACGGGGTGGGGGGAGGAGGGACACACCGTTGGCAGGTACCAGGTGTAGACCCCACAGGTGCCTCACATAAGCCCCAGAGCAATGACTGGTATATTGTACCCTCGAGCAGCAAGGGATGGACCTTCCTGGCCCACCAGCTTCCAGCTGTGTGCTCTCTCCAGGTGGACTCATTGCACTGTATATATGTGTGTGTATATGTATGTGTACTGTATACTTGTATAGACAATATATACGTATACATACAGTTCAGTGTGCATATATTATACATATATATATATATACACACACGCACACACACAGTACATATCCATATATATATACACACATCCATATATACACACATGCACAAGTATGCAAGCAGATAAGTCTATAGTGCAGTGTGTGTGTATTTTTATATATATACACACATAAATACTGTGCAGATATATATATACACAAGTATACAACAAGTCTACAGTGCACATATACACATACAATGCAGTGTACATACATATATATAAACCAGTATATAAAACATATATATACAGGGCAGTGCATATATCTTTATTCATGTATACAAGAAGTATGCGAGAAATATACATGCACACTGCATATATATATAATGATGTGTGAGTGTATATATGTGTGAGTGTATATATCTGTGTGTGTAAACACACACACAGACATATATATATAAAAGCATTTCTAGACATGTTTCTAGAGCCCTAGCTTGCTGTCCCTCTTTGTAAAATCAGGACCTATCTTATCTCTGGGAAAGGACCTTTGGTTACAAAGTGGCCGGTCTCTTCAAGGTAATCTCCTTTACTTAAGAATCAAACAAAGGAGGAAATCAGGGGTTGCACTGTTGCCCTCCTCCCAGTCCTGCCAAACATAAACACCTCCAAACTTTTTTGGTTCCCTCCTCTTCTCTCAGCTGAGTTATTACCGAAGACAGCATTGGTCTAGTAACTGAGAGCAAAGCTCTTCTTTCTTTTAACACCTCTCCATTCATTTGTGGAATGTGGGCCACATTTGCTGGGAGAATGACTGGAGTAAAAGGTGAAGGAGGGCGTTTTCCTACTGGATGCCCAAGTCAGTGGTGGATGCTTGTAGGCACAGAGTTGAATAGATATGATTGCTGTTCTCCAGAGCTGGGTAGTTTGATGTGTGCTCAGCTGTCCTTGTACAAAACGGTTTTTAGAGATGTGTACCCAGCAAACAGGATTACCTGGTACGGGAGGCAGTCATAATTCAGCATATGTCCGTTAAAATAAAATGTGGGCAGAAGCTTGTAAGAGGTGAACTGCTCTGGTTTACTAGCATCAGTTTTAAATCCTATTATGAGCTCCCTTGGCTGTTTGTGTAGGGAGGCAGTATCTTGTCAGCTTCTCATCTTTCTATTGTGGAATCACCACAACTCCATAAGCCATCATACCTAATCTGTAATACTAAAATGTAAATGTTAGATTTGACAGTGCATGTAAAAGTCCATGACTTGAAAACCTGTTGTAATTATTTATGATAGGCCATATTTTTTTCTGATTTTGTCTCTCTAAAAAGGAGTTGCATCTTCAATATAGCGCATTTTAAAGACCTAACACATATACCAAAATATGGTTGATTGACTTTACAAAAAGAATTGCATTATTCACGTTTGTTCTAATATTATTAACATTCAAATACTATCCATATCGTGCATGAAAACTTATGACTTCATAATGTTTATATCTATGACATCTCAGTTATTTTCATGTTAATAAGGTAATGAATCCTGATGTCAAAGATTGACATTATGAGGTTGGTCAGGAGGTGATAGCACAACATATAGTTTAATGAGTACTAAATTAGAAGGGTATTTCATTCTTTCCCTCTGACATTATGTTTTTATTTCATTTTTTTGAAGAATGACGTGGTGAAAAGCAAATGTGGTGACACAATATTACAGAAATCAAAGCATGTTTGGAATATTTCATTCTGCATTTGAACTATTATTAATATCAAATGGGGCTAATTAATAATATTAGGAAATACCAGACAAGAATGTCATAATACTTCGTATTTTAGATAACATGATGTTTTAGTGCCAATGCCAAAGAATTTTTTTAAATCTATATTTAATATGTAGCTAGATAATTTAACTTTAGAAATACTGTAAGTGCCTTTATTATCTCTAGCTAGCTAGCTATCTTTGGGCTTTATATACTACCCATCATCTTACTCCCTAAGTGATTCCCACTGCTAAATACTGAAATAAAAATTAATACAGATATTCTGCTGCCTGTAGTATTTCTGAGGCCCTGCCAGGATTATATCTGGTAAATACGCTTAGATTTCAACAGTCAGGATAGTCGACTTTCAAAATGCAAAATCCACTACCTGTTTTAGTCAAGATTCTGCACACCACCTGGGGCATGCTGGGGCTCGTGTCCTGGTGGATTGCTAAGATACCAGGCTGCTTGGTTCAGTGAAGATACCTTCCAGCTTCACTGGTCCATATCATTTGAAGGATATGTAGTGGTGTTCTGACCACTGAATGCTTACAAGTGTCATGGATGCTGTAAGAATCTGATACTCCTGCTGTTGGAAGCTGTCTTTTCCTATAAGCAGGGAAGTACACAAAAAGGACTGTACTTCACCTAGACCCAAATTAGATCCTAAATGCCAACTACTTAATTGCCTGAGAGAGACCATGAATATCATATGTTCGTAATTTGTAATAGTTCAGTATCCATGTCGATAATAATTTTAGCGGTCCTTATTAACTGTGATAGATCAAGTTCACACTGTCACCTTTTCAACTTTAATGTATGTTTAGTAACAGTGTTGTAACCAGCTTCTGCTGTTTTGTTTGGAGCGCCACCAGGAGTAGATATAAAATGTTTAAAACTTTCTTCTTGACAAAATACATAAAAGCTACCATGAAATGTTAAAATATTGAAATTACCATAACAAACTGGAATTGAGAATGATTTTTGTGTATTTTTTTTACTTGTGCCTGGATTATAGTACTAAAATTATGGTGCTATTGTGTCTTACTGATATCAAGGTCCCTACATCATTCATTCAAATTGTACTAGTTTACAAATGTTCTTAAAAAACACAAAAGAAAAAATGACAGAAACAAACCCAAACCTATACACATAGCCACTATCCAGACTTTTTTTTGCTATCTTTTGCATACAGGTGTGCTAAAGCTGTGAACTCTGATAGGTTAACATTCAATGAAAATGTTGTTTTTAAGAAAAAGTATGTCTGGAATAATGGAACTGAGAAAGAATATCAATAAGTTAGTGAACAGTAAAGTAAATGGATAGATGGATGGATAACACTGAATACACGTAGGAAGATTTTAAAAGTTGACTATTGGTTTCCTTAGAGCAATAATGAAATCAATAATTTGGAACTTCAAAACAAGTTCTATAAGAGGCTATTCATAAAGGATGCCTGGGTCTCTGAGGAGGAGATAACTTGTTCCCTGTATACAGCCTCATTTTTCTCACTGCAAAATAAATAGTACAGTGACATACACATTTTCTTAGTACCTATAGAAGAAATCAGGGAGAACACATGTGTTTAGAACTCATCTGATAACTTTCTTACCTATCTAAATCAGCATGCTTCTCTCATGTACTACTTGAAAAGCACTTTGGAATTTGACCTTGTCACGTTTCTTAAACAAATGAGTAAAATCAGGAAGCTTAAACTATCATTGTTCTGCTCTGAAAAGTGACTATGTAAAAATGGCACTTTCTTACTCAATAGACCTGTTCTTTGTATGAATTCTGAGTTACAGATGCTCCATTTTCTGGCTAATCTGATTCTTTTCCTTTTGTCAGGACTGGGGAGATAGTATAGCTATTGGAAAAGGGATCTGGACTTATTCTGGCTTTTGCAGCACAGATGGACTTATTTATTAAGTTCCAAAAGTAAAATCTGTATGGTAGATGATGCCAGAGCTAGAGTGAATCCAGCGTGACTTTCATGTTGGATTTTTAGGCGTTTCTCTAAGTAAAAGAAAACAGATTTTCACTTCTAAACCAAACAGATTCTCCCTGGATGCTGCTGAGAGACTACAGTGAAATCCACAATATGTTTCTTTTGCTAAGAACAACAACTAACCTGTACATTTTTTTTAGAAATTTTAGGAGTAGCATTTTCCTTAAACACCATTGGATGCTATGACTTCGGCGCCTGATCCTGTAAGATTCTCAGCACTTAAATTCGAATACAGTAATGCACATAAGCACATGCTTAACTTTAAGTGTGTGAGTAGCATCGGTGATTCTGTTCTCCCTTTTTCCAGTTTTGCTGTGTGGAACTTCTTTGACTTCAGTAGCCTCACACCTGATGTAATTCCCACTTTCAGGAAGGTACTTAGGCACCTGCCCAGTGGAACTCTTCCCATGCAGAAAGTCAAGAACATGGATCCTGGATCCATTGAAGTCAAAGGGAGTTGGGCACTGATCTTAGTGCTGGCAAATTCCTTCCTTCCATGCTTCCTCCCCTGCGCCCACTCCACGCAACACACACGGTATCTTCCTGAAACAGACTTTTACTCTCACGAGTGAGAACAGACTCAGATCTTTTTCTTTTTTTTAATAAATGTGTTTCCACTATATGGAAAAGGATAGTATACACAGTGGGTGGATCTACATGTTCAGTAATGTACCGTGGTTACTGCGCATTCAATTTAGTACCTGTAATAAATTCAGGTCCTAACTGAATGCACAGTAACTGGCACTACTGT